TCTTGAAGCTTTGTCATTCAAAGAGGATAAAAAGGATTATGGAGACGAAAATTGTCAGAGTTGGGTGCCCCGACTATCTTGCCTACTTCTCTAGTCAAAATTCGAAGGCCCCTGTTGCGCTTGGCTTTGAGGATTCGATGAATCTCTCGTCAGAACTGCGTACGGGATTGCGACTGGTCCACTTTTCTAGCACAAGAGAGAGTTGTCTCAATCAGGTGCGGCCAAGGATGAGCGCCAGGAACTAAAGTCAGCCTGGGTTTGGGAAGAAGGACATGGTCTCTCATGGGATCCTTGCCTCCAGCGCTCTTATGGGCTCCAGGGATGTGACAGAGATAATAAGGCTGGTTGAGGATGGTACTCTTGGGGAAGGTCTTCGAGTACCAAGGTTTGAGGTGCTTGCTCGAAAGAGACCGGGCAGGCGGTAGAATGATTAACTCATGATCACGCCCAGGTTAGGATTAGGGAACAACAATTTGGGGAGGCGGCGCACGTGCACCTCTTGAAGAAGGGTTATGGGTGACTTTGGGGTGAGCCCGGGCTCGAACAGATTGACCGGCCTTAGGAGGCCGAGAATCGTGAGCAAGTGTCTGTAAAGCAACAGGTGGAAGCCTGCCCCCTACAGGGTGTGCTAGTGTGTGATGAGTAGGGAAACGATGAGGTCGTTCCCTATGTGCTCGAGTTAGCATAGCGACGGCTTTGCCTCGAGTGGTGGGATGCATATGCATAACATACACAGGACCTAACCCAAGGAGGTCTGATCCTGAACACTGACTTGAGGTAACACAAGGGTGTCCCCGTGGTGTGGCTTGAGTGGATGACCCATGAGCCTTAGTATGTGTATGAGAGGTGGAGGCCACAAGGTCCCCTCCTCTAAAAGTAGAGACTCGAGGTAGTGCAGGAATGCGCGGGGTAGCCTTATGGCGACCCACAGAAGCAATGGCAACTTGTTTGCCTTTTGAAGTAAGGGACTGGGCAGCCTTTCAGCGTACCTCGGCAATACGACCGACAAGTGACTTGCCGGTGACTGGGTGCATGCTGTGAGGGGTAGTTGACGAGCTACCTATGCAAGGCGCCCTGGCAGAGATTCTACCAGAGCTAAGAGATGGGGAGTGAGGGACCTTCAAGTCCCTCCTCACACTTGTCCAGGTTAAGACTTGGGAGTTAGACACGGGGTCTTTGCTCAAAAGAAAGGTTGGGAACGAAGCTCAAGGAACTTGTTCCCTGGGGACAGTTGCGAATGTGGGGATAAGAAAGTCCCCGATTCGGATGAACGGGTTACAAAACCCAGCAGCCATAAGTGTGTGTGAAAATAGAAAAACAAAAGAGAAACTAGCCAAACAAGAACGATTCGACAAAGGGGTAGTAAGTCCTCAATAGAGTCGCCAAGCCGGTTAGGTGCCTCGATCTCGCCCTCTTGACATAGATGATTTAGTGACACGTATCTCGGGTTTCAGGGGAACCCATGACTAGAGATGGCTCTCTTGAGAAGCTTGCTAAAAAACAAGGGTAGGTAGACTAACCGATGAGAGAGGAATTTAAGGTGGGTTCGGGACTTACTCGGGCTGACTCCCGTGGGCGCTCTCTTAAATCACAAAGAAAGCCCCCCAGTCGTAGAACTGGTTCGGAATCGTTTCCCTTGCCTGTATTCTCATGTTTCTGCAATCACACACATATGGCAAATGTTACAAGACAAGTGGGTCAAGGGACCCCACCTTACTTTTGGGTGAATGTACATAGGCGTGCACATTAAAAAAAAAAAGGAAAGACTAAGAGAAGAAAGATTGAGGTGAGAAGAATTTGACCGGGGGGCGAGACCAACATAGCGACTAAACTAGTAGGTAATTGACCTGGCGTGGAAGTAAAAGGGGTTCGATGACTCAGACAGGCTCAACAAAATTACCACTAGACGATAGTATCAATACCGACTAGCTAGACACAATGGCTAGCCCCAATCCCTCATGGTCAAATGAAAGAGTAAGAGAAAGAAAAGAGAACAAAAAGAGTGAGAGAAAGGCAAAAATAAAGAAGAGAAGAGAAAGAGTGAGGAGAGAGAGAAGACAATGAGAGAAGAAAAGAAGTGGAGAAGATAAGGAAGAAAGAGAAAGAAAGAAGAAGAACATTGAGAGAGGGTAGAGGAAAAAGAAAGAGAGAAGAGAAAAACGAGAGGGAAAAGCAAAGGGGAAGAAGTAAGAGAGAGCAAGAAGAGGAAAGAAGATACAAACAACAATGGGATGAGGAGGGAGCAACTCAGATGGCGCTGTGATGAGTAGGGAGATGAAATAAAAGACACAGGCAACAATGCATTTTCGCCGACTGTGACAAAAAGAAGGGGATAAAAGACACGGTCGGTGATGAGCCTTGACCGGTTGTGTTAAAAGAAGAAGACACAGATGGCGCTACGCCTTCACCGGCTGTGGTGAAAGAAGAAGAAAGAGAAGGCACAGGCGGCGCTAGCCTTCGCCGGCTGTGGTGAAAGAAGAAGAAAGAGAAGACAGAGGCGGCGTTACGACTTCGCCGTCTGTGGTGAAAGAAGAAGATACGTAAAACATAGGCGGCGCTATGCCTTTGTCGTTTGTGGTGAAAGAAGAACAAAGAGAAGACACAGGTGGCTATGCCTCGCCGGCTATGACATAAGAGAAAAGAGAGAGAGAGAACACAAGCAGCGATAGCCTTCACCGGCTGTGACAAAAGGAGAAGAAGGAGAAGACGTAGGCGGCGATAGACCTCGCCGGCTGTGACAGAAGGAAAAGAAAGAGAAGATGCAAGCGGCGATAAGCCTCGCCAGCTGTGACAAAAGGAAAAGACAGAGAAGACGTAGGCGGCGGTAGGCCTCGCTGGCTGTGACATAAGAGAAAGGAGAGAGAAAAAGAACACAGGTGGCAATAACCTTTCGCCGGTTGTGATAGAAGAGAAAAGAGAATTTTGATCAAGGCCCAACCCACCACTCAGGCAAAGGTCCGACTCACCATTTCATGTCTCAGGAGCAGGAAGACATCACACCAGACGAGAGTTCCACCATGGGTGAATGAAGAAAAGAAAGAAGAGCAGGAAAAGAGGGAAGTGATAAATCAGAGGAGGAAGAGAGAGGAAGGGGATGATGATGGTAGAAACAGATAGGTCAAGAGAGAGATAAATGAGAGAGAAAAGAGGACGAGAGAAAAGAAGAGAGAAAGAGAAAGGAAGAGAGAGATAGAGATGAGAGAGAAAAGAGGAGGAGAGAGAAAATTACCTTTTCGAAAGGTACTAGTTATTTTCTTCTCTCTCCCTCGAAGACACACCCACGAACTTAAGCAAAAAGAATTGAAATTCTATTGAATGATCGAAGGTCCTTTACAATTAGGTTTAACATGTTTATATAGAATTGTGCCCATACATGGGTGGATGCCCAAAGACTAGCTAAATTGATGATAATTATAATTATTCTGAATTAAAGAAAATTAAGAAAATAGGGTGCAAAAAGACTGTTTGGCCTCTGCCTAACAATTCATGGAATTTCAAAACAGTCCTTGTTGCTGCCCTAGAATTTGCGTGATCTTCCATGAATGATCCGGGGTTGCTCTGATGCCCGTTTGATTAAAAGACGATTGTTTTCTTGTAAGGGTCGGCATGCTGATCGTTTTGATACCAACTTCGAGCCACGGATCGTGCTTTTAAGCCACGATGATGGGACTTGAAATTTCGATGAATCTTGAAACTTCGGATCGATAGTGCACTCGTTCCTTGATGTTTTTCAGTGATTTCTTCATCATAGTGCATTGAGCATGCCATCACGATCGAGTGGCAACAAACTCAGCTCGATTTCGTGTCAAAACGAAGATTTCACAACTTCGGAGTTTTGATCGGAATCTGGAAATTCGACAATCGGAATTACAGTCACTTTGTCACCTTTGTGTGCGAAATCCGACCGTTCATCATGTACAGGGTTTGGACCAGAGATAGTTCGGGATCTTACACACACAATGGGGTTGGTTTTGCATCGATTTGAGGTGCGAGCGCCATGATTTGGCCACTCGAGTGAGGCGTATCGCTGATGAATTTTCTGCAATAATCGACAATGTCTCTCTAGCTTTTCTCCTTGCTCGGATGTCGTCACAGGATGTGCCACATATCGAAACGCTCATCTTGACGCGACGAACACGCTCATAAAATGTGAGCGCGATCTGACTCGAGATAAGTGAGATATGAGCCTTAAAAGTTACTGCCATGACTGTGAAAGCAACCACCTTTAATGGTGTTTTAGTATAGGGTGACCACACAGGAATAGTGTGTGGGTCCTCTTGTTTCAATCTTTTACTCATAACTTTGTCCCGAAGTGTCCGATTAAGCAGAAACTTGACTCACAGGGGTTTTCAACCATGTCAGATCTAATGGCGATGGTCCCATAGTTGTTTGACCCATCGAAAATATAGTTTCAATTATAAGAGTCCATTTCAGGATGCTAGAGGCCAATTTTTCGAAACTGTTTCTTTGTGCTTACTGCCTTAGACATGTCAGATTGTGATGAAACTTGGCAGGTGGCCTTTTGGAGTGGTCATGAAGATCTTGATCAGTTCTGGGGAAATTTTGAGACTATCGAGAATTCCACTGTTTTGTCAAGCTTTATTGACCGACTTCCTCTTTATTCCGCATCAGGGACCAAGGTGCTGAAAAATGTGTTCAAACAATCCTATGTTGTATTTACGGCTTTATTTCTTATTTACAACATTGTTTTGCGGCACTTATAAGTGGAATTCATAAATATTAATGAAAGAAAAGATTTTTTTTTTATTTTATTCCTTGGAATTCCAATTGGCCACTTCTTTCAAAGGATCTGTCTTTCTAGGCAACTAGTCTGCGTTAGAATCTATCTAAGATGGGATCCACAACTATTTTCATGGTTTACCTAGGCAAAGGGGTGAATCCCATGTACATCTTTTGATCAACTTATCAGATTTAAAGTGTCAATAACTCCAATGGACATTGCTCAAGTATGATAAAATATGAGAATCAAAGTTGCATACCTTATCCTCTAACCTTATAACAAAATTACACGAAAATAAAATCTTTCAACAAAGTTGATAGGTGATCTATCATAGAAATTCTTTTCACCACCTGAAAAATTAAAGATAGCTAGTCAACTGAAAAAGAGAAACCATTCCGATAAAAAGACTCTGGATATAACTACTTAAAACTTACCAAGAAGATTGTCAAGATAATGAGACTCAAACTTGCTTTCCTTCAACAGGGACAAATCAACAACCTACAAATTTTTTACATCATGAAGGCCCAGAGACTTATCAGAGTTATTTTCTACTAGGGAGTGGAAAAGCTTTAAGAATTTCTGAACTTTCTAACTAAGAAAATCTCTTCTAAAGATTTAAGAAGTCTTCTGCACATTCAGCCAAGCCATGCATCACAAAACTAAAGTCTAACTGCTTGACAGTTATGAATACAGAAAACTTGAAATCTTTGAGCTCAAATTTCACTCATCATCAATAAATGAAAATGCATTGAAGTGAAATTCATGTGAAATACTTTAGTAGAACATTATCCGTCACTTACACCATATAATGAAGAACCAGCCTTAAATGTTCGACTGAAAGCAAGAGCAGCAAGTGTAGTGTAACCCCTTGCTAATCTCCCTGTTGTACAAAGTCGTTCCCCATCTGCCTTCCGGCTGTCAACTTGCAAAAAACAATTTGATTCATCAGTTCCAGTTTAAAGCAACTGCTATATATTCCAGATTAGCCACGGTTAAGTCAAAAGAAACTAGGGAACATGAAATTTACAATAGTTACCAGGAATCGTGCACAACCGCAACAGTCATTGACATCAACAATGCCCCAGTTGCCCAAGAGTCTTTCTCGATACTCCCTGCCATAACCTTCAAGCAATATAAGCCTAATCAGTTAATGTATTTTGAACCCTTGTTACAAGAATCTCCTATGAAAAGTTTCAAGTACAATATACATAAGACTGGCAGTTTCATATCAGAATGTAAGACATCATTTTCATCTCAACTCCAAAGAAAAAAGAAGTTTGCATTTATGGCAATATGTAAGTCACTCAGCACACTCACATAAATGATCTCTCATGCATTTAGTCCTCGTTCCTGAATCATCTTAATCCAAGATTTCATGTCACTAGCTAGAATAACTTTAAAAAGAATAAGGTGACGACCAGCACACTCACATAAATGATCTCTCATGCATTTAGTACTCGTGCCTGAATCATCTTAATCCAAGATTTCATGTCACTAGCTAGAACAACTTAAAAGAGGTTAAGGTGAGGACCAACCAGTGCTTCCACCATAGTTGACATCTATAAAAGCCCATCCTCGACTTGTCCAGTACTGAATACTCAAATCCAATGTTCCATATGATTCACTTGTAGGACCTCCTGCAGAATTTTACAGAAAGGGAATGCAAATTCAAACCGAAGATTTCTTAACGAACTCTCTACATGATTCAAACACAGAATTCTTTTAAACCAAAGACTATGCATTGATCCAAAGAACTATAATATGCACATAGGGTAAATGTTGTTTAACCTAAATCTCTAAAATCCACCATTGTTCCCTGTTTCCACAATTTACCACTATAGGCTTCACATATTTTCCTTTCTAAACATAAACAACAAAAATAAGCCTTTACATTCAGCAAACCCATCGAGAAACACTTGGAAAAAAAAAAAGACCCAACACATTAGACTCAGAAGTTTGAAGACTTCGTTGCATCTTTTCCATAAGTATAGGTCCTTATATGTTAAATCACTTCAATTATTCTTTTCTTGAAGAATCATCAAACTATTAGTGTACAGATAATGTTCCAAAAGAAAGTACATCATTTACCATGGCTTTCCAATAATAGTGGAGTTTTTTCACCAGGGGTAGCTTTATACAAGTGGTTAAATGGGGGATAAAAGTAGGCATATGCCTTTTGTCCTTGAACTTCTGTAGGAAACTCAATTATCTTTGGCAAGCTCAGATATGGTGTAAAGTGCAAAGAATCCAAAGAGGAAGAACACCTCAGATATGGTGTAAAGTGCAAAGAATCCAAAGAGGAAGAACACCAAATTGTAGTGAGTTCCAGCACCTTTAACTCCATGCTATCTAAGGTCAGCTGGGTAACTCACAAGGAAAAAGAGAGCACAAGTATTACAGCCTAGATATTATTGTTTATTCTTGCACTTTTGTTTTAGTGGTATCCAAGTCTAGGACAACAAAAAATTTAACATGCTCTCTAACGTCATACCATGACGCAAACATGCAAATATAGCGCCACCTCAAGTTTCTTGAAGTGTCCTCCTATTCAAGGTAGCAGCCTATTATATCTAGGTTGACAATGGGCCAGGTTTGGAACAGGCCATAGTGGGCTCAAGCCTGGCCAAAATTTTTATAATTAGTATCGTGCTAAGTCTGAATGTGGTCTGTGGTGCAAATACGGCTGCTCGTGATTGGCAGCCCTACACCTATAAGGCTGCCAATGAGCCGGTTCCAGACCAGCCCAGGCTTGGCTAGAGCTGACCTGAGCATCTAAACCCGATTATCTGAGAGAAGTCCAGGCCCAAAGAACAAAAGTTTAGGAGACGACATACATTTTTTTAATTTAGGATCAAGTAAGAGAGGGATTCATCACCTTCTGACATTAAATCTCATCTCTGAAACACCATTCCCATTTTCAGAGACAAAGGATAGACCCTTTCTTAGCAAGTAATTTTAAGGATAGAAAGGTATTATTAGGCTCTGATTTCTAAAATTAGATTTGGGTTCAAGTGAAGAAAGAAATAATTTTTGGGGTAGAAAGAGACTTTTAGGATTCGAGTGAAAGTAAAGGCATTGAATAGAGAGGGTAGGGTTTGAAGAGGGATACAAAATAGCGATTTAAGAGAAAAATTAGAGTAAGGAAAAAAGTGAGCTGGATAGATTTCGAGTTAAGGTAGATTTTAGGAATACAATGAGATTCGTAGGGCTGGAATGAAAGAAAAGGAATTGTACAAGATCTGATTTGAGTTCTTCAATGTTGGCAATATGACCTTTCAACTTAATGCCAAGAGTCACTCGCTTAATGTGGGTGAATGAGAGATAGAATCTGGGTGCTTTGTGAACTGTGGCCCAGAGTCCAATATCCCGAGTACGTATGAGGCATTGAGAGTTTATGCTTTGAGAGAGTAAACTCTCTGGGAGGTGTGAGGGTCACCTCCGAGTCAGGAGAATATAGGTTAGAATGCCGCATATTTGATGTAATTAACCAGGGCTTGGAGCTACCAATGGAGTGTAAAAGAACTCGAGTATCTTGTGATGAGAGCTGGCCTTGTATGGAATGGTCAAAACTTAAGGGACATAAGTACATATCTTGACACGAGATCATTTCATGATATGTGCAGATTCATTCGCATGGGAAGCCACTCTTCTATATGTATTATTTGATATTGGAAAATCCTATGCACATGTGCTTTGAGAGGACCCCTGTAATAGAGTAGTAATATGCCCCATAGGGGTACACCTATAATCCATTGAGATGTCGGATGGTGGAAAACTTTAGCTCAGTGACTTTGATGTGACCAAATTATGTGTCCCTGCCATAGACTGTGGAGCATAAATCTGTTGGGTCAACTTGAGACACCAGTGAAACATCATTCGAGACTAGCCTAATGGAGTCCTCATGTTACTAAGTCAAGGCCTTGAGATCTCACATATACCTTGAGTTTGATTTAATTATGATGATAAATAATGTAATAAATATATAAATATGTTTCAAATAATTTTTGAGATTTTTTAATATTTTTTTGGATTTTTAAAAGCACAAAAAAATGTGTTTTTCAAATTTGTTTGACCTTAATTCCAAATGAGGACATCCATGTGGATGTCACGTGGCACCCAAGTGGCCATAGGGTGGTCACATGGTACCATGGGCCCCTCACATTGAGCCCCCTTCTAGTTTGGGTGTGACCCCCATTTGATACTTATTTATTTAAATTGATTTCCAAACCCTATGTTATATGGTTATAACTTAAAGTTACATTTTAATCACATGGGTAATTGTCACACATGTGACATGCTTGACTTGCGTGAAGCCAAGGGAATTTTTGAAATAAAATTTATTATTAAAATTAATATCCAAATAAGTAATATTGCATGTTAATATTTTATGTGGCTGCACCTATTGGTGTGACCCATATGAAGGTGGGGAGTGCATGTGAAGGGTGTGAGTTAGGTTAATCCTATTGGTGGTGTCATAACCATCCTTTTTGCAGTCCCCATGCCATGATGCCATTTACAATTTTGCCCCTTACCCTTAAACATTATCTGCCCTCGTGAATTAAAGAAATGTTGAGGGCCCATTTTTTTAAGTGCACTTGAACATGTTTGGAATAAAAGTATGGAGCTAAGGACAAGAAGGTAATGTGGCTTTGACCTAGGGTTCTAGTAGGTGATAATGGTGGAAAATCTCATCCATTCATCTTGGTGGTGGATGTGGATGAGTAGCTAGAGATAATTGGCATCTCATGTGCCATTGATGAAGTGCATCAAGGATTTAAGCTTACTCAAACACTTCATATAAATACAATCTTATGATCCAACATAACCCTATCTTTTGCAAAACAAATTTTCACAAGCAAAAGAAACCTAGAGAGAGAGCGCAAGAACTCCAATGAGCTCCATGCATCAGCCATTGTAGAATTTATTCTATTGCATTCCATTAATCATATTTGAAGTTTTAGGGTGATCCTTAACTATATGAGATCAAGTTCGTGTTAAGCAATCATCAAGGTAACCCTCCATTGAGTTTTTCCCTATTGTTCTTCGTTATCTTCCGTTTCAAAGCTTGATGTAAATTCTTAGTTACAGTAGCTTTGTAAACCTTTTACCCTTGCTTCATGTGATCTTTATGATTGCTTTTTATGAGGTAGTCATCCATTTGACTATAAGGTTCATACCTTGATGATCCTTTGAATGAGCATAGTTTACCATTGATTTTCTCTATACGAATTGTTTTTGTGCATTTCATATACTCAAGTTTCAAATTCCAAATAGGATTGTATGCAATGAGACCATTTACCTTTGATACAAGGTGGTCACAATTTGTGAAATTTGATAGCTTGGATGTGTCATAGAGTTCAAGAAATGTTTTTTTGAAGTTTGAGCTTGGTCAGTGGAATAATTGCATCCACCCAATTTCACATCTAGTAGTCAAAATTAATATGACCACCTTGTATCAAAGGTAAATGGTTTCATTCTATACTTTCCCATTCCAAAGATCTATTACCTCTTTGAATCATTTAGAGTCCACACTTTTGCATGCAATCCCATTTTGGTGGTTCGATGGACTATACTACATAGTTTTGCTCTATCTTGTTCGATTTTGATCGGATCTTCATAGTTCTTTTTGCAAACTGTTGTAGGTTGATTTTATTATTGATTATGGATCATAAGAAGTGTTTTAAAGGTGTTTAAGCATCTCAAATTGGATAGATACCCTTGAGTTATATAAACCACTAGTGCACTCATTTTTGGGACAAGATTAAGTCCTCAAAAGCGCCGATCGTGGGCTAGGCACAAGGGGTTAGAATCATTAGAAAATATTAGAGTGAGTGGGCTTCACAATGACAAAAAAGGGATATCTTTATCATTGAAATTCTAGAACATAACGAACCACTAATCACAACCTACCTCCTCAAAAGTACAAAGAAATGAAAGATGACAAAGTAACTTCTGCAATTTTTTTTCTAATGAAATAGCCATAACTCTAGAACCATTTATTTGATTTGAAATAAAAGCACAGATGGCGTCTTCTTCTTACCCGTTCTTAGACATATCCATGCTGCTTTATTCCAATGCATGTTTTGATGACTCCATTCGACCATGCAATTCTTTTTCCTTTTGGACAAATCCTCGGGAATGCATAGAAATCATTGCCGCTTACCAATACTTTTGGCTCTTCAAAATACAAGATTCAAAGAAGTGTCAACAACAGATTGATAGAGGTCTATAAAAAAGGATGAAAGAAAAAGGACTCATTAAATGACACAACATTCAAATTTATAGAATCCTAACAAATATGTTCTTACACTCACTGATGCTAGTCAGCAATATTGGATTGGTATTGATGAACGAGAAAAGCACATTTATATATGGCGCACGCTCCCTTGGCAATATAGAAGATATAAACTACTTTAGAACACAAACTTGTGACCATAAATTCAATTAAATCAGAAAAGGAGCATCCAGAGCCTATCTGTGGAGACCATTTTGGACATATTTAAGAACTCCAACTACTATTTGGGTTTGATTAATACTTTTTGGACTATTATTTATTTGGTGTCCCTATTTATCAATGTTCCCCCAATTGTAAATACTCTTAGAAACCAGGGCTTGGGCTTCAAAATGAGCATTGTAGCAGAAACTGCAACCATAGGATTAGGAGAACAAATAAATGTATAATGAGACCATTTACCTTTGGTACAAGGTGGTCACCATTAATTTTGACAATTGGATGTCAAATTGGGTAGCAACATTTATTCCATGACCAAGCTCAAAATTCAAAAGAAATTTTTTCGAACTTTGTGCGACACCCAAGCCATCAAATTTCACATGGGACGGTTATACACAATTATGACCTTTTTGTACCAAAGGTAGATGGTCTCATTGAATACAATTCCTTAGGAGAACGACTGGATTAAGCTTAGTTCTTGGGAGTTTGAGCCAGTGGATTTCAACATACATGATGTGGCTTAGCATTAAGGCACTTGACATTCAACCCAAGTCGTGGGGTTGGAAATGGGCTAGGTTCGTCCAGGCAGCGTTGAATGAGTGCCCAACCCAGCCCTATCCCTAATAAGGCATGCTTAACTTAACCAGGCTCTAACCTAAAACCAGTAAACTTTTGCTAGGCAATCCTTCCCACCCAAGCCATGGGCCTTCTCGATCACTGATTATCGTCATCAAAGAATGCTTCTCTATTTGGCATAGCCTACGTGTTATATTCTCTTTCCTACGATGCATCCATCCCTCCCTTCAATGCAGGACCATCTCTCTACAACATACTGATCATATGCTTTTCATCAACCTCTCCTTCCACTCTAATGTCTCCCCATCCCTCTCTCA